ACCAACAACATCAAGGTAGACTCAATAGTCCTGATTACAGACGAGAGACTTCCTCCTGGGAAATGGCCATTAGCTCGGATATTGGAATTACATCCCGGAAAGGACGGCCGAACAAGGGTGGTGACCTTGAAGACAGTGACCATGACTTTGATACGACTAATTGTGAAGCTCCCACTGCTGTCTGTCATGACAGACGACGCAGCCTACGATATATAATCAGCAATGGAGTTCCCACTTGTGGAATTCTCGTTCACGTTTAATATAATCGTCGAATAGACCACGCGCGCGATAAGTACTATCGTTTTGATCGATTGATCACTAATCAGCACGGAGATCACGCGTTAGTGAACTTGTAGTTCGACTCAGTGTGACGGCCACGTGCAAGATCGCCAAATTGACGACGTGGCAACTCGATCGCCATTGTTCACGCTGTCCGTTAAGACCACGATCTTTATTGTAGTTCAACGTCACTTGTGCATTGTAAAACTTTAACAACGAGCTACTTGAGCTCAGCAATAAATGTGTAATCGTCCCAGACTGCGTACTGATTCATTTACCTATCCCGTCCCCGTCCATCCCGGAGGCTCGCGGAAAGCCCAAAAATCCGCAACACATGGTATTTATTGAAAGGGATAGAGTGTAATTTTCATACCTGAAACGAACGCGTTGCAATCGCTGCGTTGCATATTACATTTTCATCTGGCGCAGCGCAACGTAATCACATTTAGCCGTATCGCTGCATTTTCTTGTGTAAAATGAGACATTACGCGAGTTTGCTACACAAACGAAACTAATATTTAGATCGGAAGATAGGTGAACGTGTCTGTGCGCGTGCACGAGTGCACCGCTTCGAAGTTCAGGATTTTATTTTCTGATTAAATTCCGCGTCTGCAGTAGGATTACTCGCAGTGAAAAAAGGAAGTACTGCATATTTCATGCGTTAATTTATTTCAAAATGCAACGCGCGAAGAGAAACAAAAATGGAAATCCAATATGCAGATTAAAATAAGCACTCGTTCTTCATTTGATCATGTTCATTAAATAATTGTAATGTTCATTTTCTCCTGAATCAACATCCTAATTAAAATCTCAATCGCAGCGAAGATAAAGTCGAAAATAATTGTCACGAGTTCAGCCAAATTTTCAGAGTTTAATTGCGGTCGAAGTCCGGTTCGAAATTAGTTTTTTCCCGTAATTCGAGCAATCACGGGCGACCCACCGCATTTCCTTTGAAATTTCGCGAACATCGCGTGAATTATGGCCAGTTCGGAGCGGGCAATTATCGCCGTCGCGATACCTTTCTCGTTTTCGATGCTTGGGGTTGGTTTCCGAGTTTCAGGGGTTGAATTCGCTGAATTATCGGGAGGAGGACTTCGCTAACTAGAAAACAGTCCGGTTAATTTCGCGGGACTGTGATCTTGTAGAATATATCTCCTCTAATTTGAGAGACGAGATTAGTTTCTTTCCAATTTAAATAAAACGAAGCTTAAAATTGCAAAAACTTTGATATCATAAAAATATTATGGTTCTATTTTTCTGTTAATAACTACACTGACATTTCACGTAAAACAAATTCCAACCTCGGTACGTGCAATTTCAAACTTTCTTTACTACCTTTCCCAATCCGGATCCCACTGAAATTGAAATTTCTAACTACCAACCTAATTACGTACTACCGTATAGTAAATTTCCCGACTATTTCCTTCCGAGTGCAACGAGAATTTGTACAGTTTGAGTGCGTAAACTGGATCGCTTATGGAACGGTAGGATAGAATATTTACAATCGCTATGATAAAGCTCTCACGGACAGAACTCGGACAGATATTATAACGCAGAAGCCGCGTTACGATAGCGAGGACGGTGAATAAAGGGAGGCAGAGCGTAACAGAAACGGATTTAATTTCACGTCTATCGCGTGCAGGGCAAACGAATTGCACGCAGCCGGAATGTACGCGGTGCCGTTTTCCACTCCGCGTTCTCCAACCCCTCCGGTTTCCGGCTGCACCTGTGGGAGGGTTTACAATCCAGAGATCATCCCTTGCTCGACATGGGGTGGCAAACACTGGACAGGGTGTCGTTGTTGCTTGATTTGTGGAGAAAGGGAGTATACATGGACTTGCCAATAAAAAGAATTAAACTATCTGTGTACATTTATTCGAATAATGTCCAGTTACATTGTAATTGGAAATATAATTGAGTTCAATTTTCGTTTAATTATCCAATTTCATTGATAGATATTTCCAGCGTGTAAAAATATCTAAAGGCAGTTGCGATCTGCGGAGGGGTCGATTTCAGGGCTCTTTGTCTCGCGAAGAAAGAAACGGGAAAGCCCTAGCTCGCAGTCGGTGAGAAATAGCGGTGACAGCGGGAAATCGTTCGGAAATACTGTTTCCCTCCTCTGTATCCCATCGCGGAAAAACCGACCATTCCGTCAGACCAACAATTTGTCTGTTCATTCATAGCTGTCTCCTGCTCAAAATAATAAAATTTCTCTACGTACAAACGAAAAACATGGATGCACGCGTTTATTCCTTTGGGCCTGGATGGAACGAAGTTGGAAAAAAAATTGCTGAGACAAATATATCCATACATTTGGTAATCTGAATTATTCATCGCGTCGCGGTAATTCCGGGATCGCTTCCACCTCTTGGAACGTACGGGAGTCCGGGGGGCCGTGGTGCTTAATTCAAGAGACACGTTTTGGCTCCCCGAGTGGGTCGTTAGTCGGATGCATCACGTGCGCGGATTTAAAGGGCGGATCCGCACGTATAGGTGCGCTCTCTGCGAGCCCGGGGTTAGATTGTGCCGCGAGACAGAAAGAGGAAAGGGTTGGGGACTGCTCGATCGCCGCGAAATGATTACGCGAGCTTCCCTGATTATTCCTCCAAATGGAGCCATCTTTCTTCCGGTCCCTACAGCCTCGGCGGAGAGAGAGGGAGAGAGAGAGAGAGAGAGAGAGGAACGGGGCGGAAGGCGAAAACGTTCGTTTGTCTGGCTTGAGCGGAATCACGCGGATCCAATTTCATTCGGTGGAGACCCACGTTCGTTCGTCCTTCCACAAGCATATTTACAGGCACCTCGATGTACTTCAATGGCGTTTTAATCTTGCAAATGCATTCCGTACGCTGCTGGTACCTCTGCACATACACCCTCTCTCTCACACACATACACACTCACTCACTCACTTTCCTCCCTGCCATTTGCCTCGGATTTCCTCCTTTTTTTTAGTCGAGTTCATGCACGTACTTTTTCCGTCGAGAGCCATCCGTTGCCCGGTCGAAGTTGATTTGTATAGGGAAAAAGCGGTGTTTTTGGAAACGAAGCATCGCCCGAATAGACCCCGCCGATATTTGGCTGGATTCGATGCCAGGATTCATTCAGAGCCAAATCATTGCGTTAGTTTATTAAAAAGCAGTGATGTAGTGTTATCGCTAGACCGCAGATTTGTATGCACGAGAAAACGTTCGAAGTAATAACAATTTTCATGCCCTGCATTCTTTATATTTTCTACACAGCCGTTCTTCATTCTCCGAAGACGGTTCTTCATACGTTTTCTAATTAAATTCAACTGTCTTTCCGCTGGCTAAAGGCGTCAGTATTCCTCGCTCGTTGGGTCGTGTCCCGTGGGACGCACGAGGGGCGATATTCTTCTTGAACTATCTTGATTCTCATCCACACCCTCCGTTGGATCATTTTCAATTTATTTCCCAAGTCTTTTTTCTGCACGAATCGCTCCTCTGTCCTCCGGGGAGGAAGTTTAGAAGGGAACCCGCTTTGGAACGGTACAGAGATAGGAACCCCCAGTACACAAAGAACTGCGCGGGGGGTTGATTAATGGACTTCTTGCCGCGACCGGTGTACGAACGACGGGAAAAAATTAGAACGAAGAAGGGGGTCGCAGAATCGCAATGGCAAGTGTGATCGATTAATTGGACTTGTCGAGCATCCGTGATCATCCGCTTGTCGCTGCCGTTGTTTAATCGTTTTTTGACAACAGATCGATACTGTCGAGTCGCGTCCGATTTTTGCATCCCCTGCTTTATTACTCCGAAAGACGATTTAATGGATCGTGGAACTCACTTTCTGTTGATTATTAATGTTAAACTGCAATATCTGAAATGCTTAGAAATCTGTTATGCGTGAAAAGAAATATAATATATTAAAAACTTTGTTAAACTCTGTCTTGCGAAATTCAAAAGTTAACTGCGAGTGGCATGAGCGGAAGCAATTAAGGATGTATTGGCTATATAGTCAATCCCAA